CTTATCTTATTACACAGCAGGCTTAGTCCACCAGATATAACTAGGATGTAGACCCCAAATTTCCTCGTGTGAGGCAGGTTCCGTCCCCCAGTAACTGATACACAAAGTTTGCTTCCTCTTCTTGACCTTTCAAAGGCACTAGCTGTAAAGCTAAAATCCTAATATATGACAGCTATATCAGAGAAAACACTGTACAATGAATCAGATAAGGACCAAGGCTAAATTACCTTTTATTAAGAGGCTGTTCGCATTCTAACCGGTACGCCCTATCTACTGACATTAATGGCCAAAAATGATTAGATAAATGGGTTTCAGCAGAACACTTCCCTTGTGATTGTTGACAGCATGTTGATGATGGCAGACCTTTGGTTTCCATAACACTTCGTCCAAGTGAAATTAACAGGAGCTGAATTTGCTCCCTGCCTCAGGTCTAACAACAATGACTGACCATTCCTTCACTACTACTGACGCTACTGGCCTACATTGTCCAGATATCAGAAAGTGATGGAAGGATCACATTTACTCTATTTTAATACTGATAATTAAACTAATTCAAATGAGATGTTTTTATGATGTAAAAGTTCAAAGACTAATGTATTTAAGAATAATTCCCAGCAGAATAGCTGGTGAATTTATAATAGTATGTGGCAATGATATCCCGTTTTCTATAGACGGAAAGTTCCACTACAAGTTACATTTTCTATGGGTAACTTGTGTATACAACGCAGCAATATTATCTGCAATTCCATTGATATTATTAAATGGTGTCGGAATTTCCGACAGTCCTCCATCATGGTCTTGCCTCTCTCCATCCTCCATCATGGTCCTTCCTCTCTCCGTCCTCCATCATGGTCCTACCTCTCTCCGTCCTCCATCATGGTCCAGCCTCTCTCCGTCCTCCATCATGGTCCTTCCTCTCTCCGTCCTCCATCATGGTCCTGCCTCTCTCCGTCCTCCATCATGGTCCAGCCTCTCTCCGTCCTCCATCATGGTCCTGCCTCTCTCCATCCTCCATCATGGTCCTGCCTCTCTCCGTCCTCCATCATGGTCCTGCCTCTCTCCGTCCTCCATCATGGTCCTGCCTCTCTCCGTCCTCCATCATGGTCCTGCCTCTCTCCGTCCTCCATCATGCTCTTGCCTCTCTCCGTCCTCCATCATGCTCTTGACTCTCTCCGTCCTCCATCATGGTCCTTCTTCTCTCCGTCCTCCATCATGGTCCTGCCATTCTCCGTCCTCCATCATGGTCCTGCCATTCTCCGTCCTCCATCATGGTCCTGCCTCTCTCCGTCCTCCATCATGGTCCTGCCACTCTCCGTCCTCCATCATGGTCCTGCCATTCTCCGTCCTCCATCATGGTCCTGCCTCTCTCCGTCCTCCATCATGGTCCTGCCTCTCCCCGTCCTCCATCATGGTCTAGCTGATGTCCACAAAAAAAATCCTTACCATACATAATTTCTCAGATTTACTTCATTTATTTCCTTAAGCTCTCTGGAAATCCCCATTAAAGCTTTCATTTGGGAGATACCTGCGGCCTTGAATATTTGTCCCTAAACATTATCTCTGGCAAGCAAGGCTGTGTTCATTGCCCTTCTCGTTTATAACAATTTGCTCGTTGTACCTTCCTTCATCAGTAAAGTTCTAATTGTTTGACGTATTAATATTTCAGATCTATGAATCTCCTACGAAATATACTACTGATTCTTCAGTGAGTGATACGTTTACTGTGGACAGCAGCGTGGGGAAGAACCTCATCTTCAGGCTTCAGACAAGCAGCAAGAATCATGTCGTGAGCCCCCCGCGCCTGATTGACCCAGATGGCTCCGTCACAAGTGTCACTGAATTTGATGATATTAGTCTGGTGTGGAGTGTCACTCTCCCAGAAGCAAAGGTGCGCGAATACCTCACTTGCGTTTTTGTGTGCATATAGCTACCTGTATAGCCTCATGTATAGTGTGTGATAGTGGAGAACTAACTTCAGATCCTGGCCTTTGCCTGTTACATAACCATTAATTCTGATCCCACCTCTTGTGTATACCCTTGCCCATTTTGATATGTATGTCCTCGTCCAGATCCCACCCTATGTATGTGTCCTCGTCCAGATCCCACTCTTTGTGTGTGTCCTCGTCCAGATCCCACCCTTTGTGTATGTCCTCGTCCAGATCCCACCCTTTGTGTGTGTCCTCGTCCAGATCCCACCCTTTGTGTGTGTCCTCGTCCAGATCCCACCCTTTCTGTGTGTCCTCGTCCAGATCCCACCCTTTGTGTGTGTCCTCGTCCAGATCCCACCCTTTGTGTGTGTCCTCGTCCAGATCCCACCCTTTGTGTGTGTCCTCGTCCAGATCCCACCCTTTGTGTGTGTCCTCGTCCAGATCCCACCCTTTGTGTGTGTCCTCGTCCAGATCCCACCCTTTGTGTATGTCCTCGTCCAGATCCCACCCTTTGTGTATGTCCTCGTCCAGATCCCACCCTTTGTGTATGTCCTCGTCCAGATCCCACCCTTTGTGTATGTCCTCGTCCAGATCCCACCCTTTGTGTATGTCCTCGTCCAGATCCCACCCTTTGTGTATGTCTTCGTCCAGATCCCACCCTTTGTGTATGTCCTCGTCCAGATCCCACCCTTTGTGTGTGTCCTCGTCCAGATCCCACCCTTTGTGTATGTCCTCGTGTCTTTCTCCCTTCATCGCAATTTGAGTTTTTGTCCAGTTTGTCGATGGCTCTGAATATTTTGTTTATTCAACCCATCCTCCTTTTTTAGATATTACTTTTTGGAATTATGTGGACCATCATACATGTTTTGACGTAATGGACAATTATGTAGTAGAGATTGGTAATATTCAGTTTACAGCGTCCAGAAAAAATAAAGTTAAAAACCAACCTTAAATATTTTCTAGGCCTATTAGGCCTAAAAAATAACTATACTCTATTGGGCCTCAGATAGCGTGAATTAGGTCAGAGATGTTAGGCTAGGAGATGTTGTTTTATTTGCAACATTAATACAAAAATATTTCCAGTTTGTCCAAATTCAATCATACCAAATTCTACTTTCGTATTGTCTGTCACGTCACATGATCATGTCTCCCTCAGGGACTAATCTGGTGAAAACGCTTCCAGCCACCGTACATCTCATGTAATAACAGACGACACTTGTTTTTGTTGTAGGTAATTTTGAAGCTGTGTATGGCGTTAGCCTCGTCTATTGCTCGTACACTCATCGGTTTACCCCCACAACATATTTACATATTTACCTTTCATCTGCTGTTACTTGTAGTATTTATACTCATCCCTGAATAGCCATTTCTTCTATTGCATTATTGTGAGGTTTGAGTTTCTCAATAATTTACCCCAGTCACCTCAATTTCGGAACTTTCTCGATTTGCATTTTGTTCCTTGTGTAGTGAAGGTTCCCCACCAGCACTGCCCACTTACACCGGTTTCACAATGGTCTATTGACAGCAGCCTCGTCCAAGTTCCTGAATGCAACTTAAGTATTTGCCAGCTTAGTGTATATTTGCTCATGTGATTTTATTTTTGTGCATTTTCAGTAATAGGCTTGGAATTCATTTTATCATTTCTAACTGACGGAGATGCCATCCTCCTGGTATTTTTTTTTGCTTACATTCTCATTGCTATGCTTTTATTGGGGTTACAATCTAGCATCCACCTGGCAGACTAATTCAGGAACATCTTTAGGGCTTCCAGAGGCATTCTGGCTATAATGCACTCAAATCCTTCTCATTTTGCACATCTGCAGCATAATGGCTCCTGCGGTCGGTTCACAACAGATTCGATTTTTGCGGGCCGTTATATTTTTTATTTATTGTGCACCACATACTCATCCTATGAGCGGTAGCGTAAAAATTATCACACAGAACACAAAGATCATAATCAGACATCAACGGTTATTCTTACATTATCCATTGCAACTCATTTGCCCCCCTTATATCTACAATGACAGATGGTAACAGACATCTCTCACTGCAACTTGCATATATTAACAACTAGATGGGTTATCCGGCAGTGCCAGGTGTCTCTTTCTCTCTCTCCTCTCCCTCTTTAACAAATGTTCCCCTCTCCCTTTCTCTCTCTATTCCTTCTCCCCCACTCCCCCACCTCCTTCCTGAATTGTGTGCAATATAGATTTTTCACTCTTTAATCCTATTCTGCCTCATGTGTTAAATTTTGTCATCACTAATTGGTTCACACCTCTTCAGTCAGTCCTATCCCCACCTCTTTATCCTCATATTGTACCCATGTGCTACATAGTCATGCTGGCTTAGTACTCCTGATAATTACCTTACCCAGAGCGTGCGTGGCAATGCGAGCGGGAGTAAAAGTGGTAGAATATATTTTTTTCATGACAGCAAAGGACTTCACTTGGAAGCATTACTTACACTGTTGTATCACTGGAAGGTCGGCACCTGGACATGGGAAGCCAGCCTGGATAAGGACAAATTTAACTCAGTGAAGGTGTCCATCACAGCCAGACAGCGAGATCCCAACGCGCCGCCCATCACTACCAGAGTCTGGGTGAGAGTAGTATTTAGTACGCCAATGGCGAAGCATTTTGGGTTTTCCGAAGTTTTGTCAGTGGCGTAGTACTTTTTCCATCAACCTCGGAACTTCGTCACTGGCGTAGTTATTTTTAGTTACTTCGACGACGCTCGGGTACAGCTATCCCTAATGTTCAATGATGTCATCAGCCAGCTTCCCTCAATAAGTTCGTTTTCTATAATGGCATAATTAATCCCATTTGCCATAATTGCATATTAATCCCATTTTCATGGATTGCATATTTAATCCCATTTTCATATTTTTCCCAATTTTCAATATCTGAATATTTCTAGTTAAATGATTGCATTTTAAACATAATAATGAAAGTGCAGAAGACCTATTGGGACTATTCAGTATAACCTATTTATTTGTGTCCACGTTAAACCAATCATTAACGACCACAATGAAATGGAATAAAATTTTGGAACCATTACTCATCACATTGAATTCTCCATAGGTATTACATTTAATAACAATATTCACAAAGTGATAAGACTAGCTAACCCAAACCTAACCTCATCGAGGGTTTAAAAATACACATTTTGTTACATTTAAAACAATTAATTATTATTATTATTATTATTGTTTGCATTTGTAGTTATGGCAAAATACAATAGGGAAGCACAATATTTTAGATGACAATCTCAGTAATTAAAGTTCTGGATAATTGCAGGGAGATCTACAGCAGCTCCTCAACCATTTAGATTGTGGTTAATTTCCAATAATAATAACAACAACAACAACAACAACAACAATTATGCAAAAACATTTGGCAACTCAGCAAGATTTGGCTATAAACAAAGATACTGTCATTCACAAACCTCGAAAATACATAAAATCCTAATATTTCTCCACAAATTAGTTAACCTGTTTCCAAACAGTCGTATATACATACATTGACTCGTTCTATGTATGAACATAGACACAAAGGGATTAGGCTCGTTCCTCTCAATGTTTGCTGATGATACAAAAATTATGAGGAGGATTAAGACAGAAGATCATAGTATGAGGCTACATGATGACCTAGACAAACTCAAGGAATGGTCCAACAAATGGCTACTAAAGTTCAACTCATGTAATAGTGAAGTGATGAAATTCGGCGGAGAAAATAGGACGCCAGACACTGGATACCAAATAGGAAAGGAAGTCCTTCACGAAACGGACAAGGAGAAAGATCTAGAAGATGATATCACGCCAAACCTCTCTCCTGAAACCAACATAAAAAGAATAGCATTGGGGCGTGTGCGAGGCTGGCTAACATCAGAACTGCCTTCAGGAACCTGTTTAAGGAACCTTTCAGAACCTTATATATCACATATGCAAGGCCACTTCTGGAGTATGCAGCCCCAGCATGGAGCCCATAACTTATCAAGCACAAGATGAAGCTATAAGAGTTCAGAGGTATGCCATGAGGCTAGTCCCTCTATCGGTTGTACAAACTATGAAGCGTAAGTTATGAGGAAAGCCTCCGTTAACTCCACCTCACGTCGCTGGAAGACAGAAGAGCTCGGGGAGACATGATCACCACATACAAATTCTCAGGCGAATTCACTGGGAAGACAAGGATGTACTATATTAACATGGGCGGTACACGCACCAGGGGACACAGGTGGATGCTGAATACCCATATGAGCCACAGAGACAATAGAAAGAACTTTTTCAGTGTAGTAGTTAATAAATGGAATGCACTAGGAAGTTATGTGGTGGAGGCTGAGTCCATATAGTTTCAAATGTAGAGCTCGAGAAGCTCAGGAATCATTGAGAGGTGGGACAAAAGAGCCAAAACTCAACCTCTGAAAGCACAACTAGGTGAGTACAACTCGTTGATTATATTCAGTCAAACATATATACACACATATATATGTGTGTACATATATATGGTCCATTTGAGGCGGGACCAAAGAGCCAGAGCTCAACCCCAGCAAGCACAATTAGGTGAGTACCTACCTACATACATGCATACATTTATATAGGGCGGACTGCATTTTTTGGACTGTCGGAAAGCCTTTGACACAGTACCCCATAAAAGGCTGATGCATAAGCTGGAGAAACAGGCAGGAGTAACTGGTAGGGCGCTCCAGTGGATAAGGGAGTACCTAAGCAATAAGAAGCAGAAAGTTACTGTGAGGGGGTGAGACCTCAGATTGGCGTGAAGTCACCAGTGGAGTCCCACAGGGCTCTGTACTCTGACCTATCTTGTTTCTGATATACGTAAATGATCTCCCAGAGGGTATAGACTCATTCCTTTCAATGTTTGCTTAAGACACCAAAATTATGAGAAGGATTAAGACAGAGGAGGACAGCTTGAACTGTCCAGGTTCAAAAAGACCTGGACAAGATGCAGGAATCGAACAAATGGTTATTAAAGTTTAACCCAAGCAAATGTAATATATTGAAGATAGGTGTAGGGACAAGGAGACCAGATACAATAGTTATCATTTGGCAGAAGAAATACTTTAAGAGTAAGAGAGAGAGAAAGACCTGGGGGTTGATGTCACGCCAGACCTGTCCCCTGAAGCCTATATCAAGAGGATAACATCAGGATATGCCAGGCTGGCTAACATAAGAATGGCCTGTAGAAACTTGTATAAAGAATCATTCAAAACTCTGTGTACTACATATGTCAGACCAATCCTGGAGTATGCGGAGCCAGCATGGAGCCCATATCTAGTCAAGCATAAGACCAAACTGGAAAAGGTTCAAAGGTTTGCCACCAGCCTAGTACCCGAAATGTGAGGTATGAACTACGAGGAGAAACTACAGGAATTGAACCTCACGTCTCAGGGAGACAGAAGAGTTATGTGGGATATGATCATCACATACAAAATTCTCAGAGGAGTTGATAGGGTTGATAAAGACTGACTATTTAACACAAGGGGCACACGCACTAGGGGACACACACACAATTGAATGCCCAAATGTGCCACAGAGATATTATAATTTGTTTTCTGTGTCAGATTAGTAGACAAATAGAATGCATTAGAAAGTGATGTGGTGGAGGTAGACTCCATACACAGTTTCAAGTGTAGATATAATAGAGCCCAATAGGCTCAGGAACCTGTACACCAGTTGATTGACAGTTGAGAGGCGGGGCCAGAGAGCTAAAGTTCAACCCCCGCAAGCACAACTAGGTAAGAACATACAAACATACATATATACATACATATATACTTGTGTGTGTAAATCACGAAAATTACCACATGATGAAAAATGTGAGTGTCAGACCTCGAAGGAAGAATTGAAACAGGAATTTCCTTAAGTACTTTCGTATTTAATAATACATCTTCAAAAGGGTTTGAAGATGAAGATATTAGATATTACCCCTTCTGAAGATGTATTCATCTGAAGATATTACTCTTCTGAAGATGCATTAATAAATACGAAAGTACTTAAGGAAATTCCTGTTTCAATTCTTCCTTCGTGGTCTGACACTGTCACATATATACTTTATATTCACATTGTCAATAGCCCATTTTTTCGTCAGTTTCACCACTATTTAATCGGATTTAATTGATTCATCCTGAAACCGTTGAAATTATAAGCCAGATACTAGACAAAAAAATGAGGTTTACTTTCAACCCAACAATCTTTCAATTGCAAATACCCATAATATTTATGCAGTTCAATATGTACGATATCCCTGTTATTTAAGTATGTCCAAACTATGGCTAACTACTCTTATAAATTCAAAGACAACAATTATAATAATTACATGTATTAATATATGCATAGCTAGGGATGCTGAGTTTCTAAGTATGCTGAGAATGCTGAGTATGCTAAGATGTAATAACAGTTGATTGCCATAACCACAAAATAACACGCTTGAACATACAACAGAAACACACAAAATCAAAACATACAACAAAAATAAATAAAATCAAAACATACCACATAAAATGCATACATTTACAAGTATAATATCACCCTTTACACACAAAATATGACATTCACACAAAATATTTGAAGTACACTCAGAGTATGACATTTATACAAAGTATGGTATTTGCACAAGTATAACAAATTGCAGACGAGGAGTTACAATAACGTAGCTGAAATATGTTGACCAAACCACACACTAGAAAGTGAAGGGACGCCAAAGTTTAGGGAAACGTCGACGATTACAAACACACAAACTACTTGAAAATGGTCCAGGACGGACCGAAACGTCGAAAGTCCCTTCACTTTCTAGTGTGTGGTTTGGTCCACATATAACAAATTTCATATGAGGTTGTACAGTCAAAATGGACTTTCACAAAAATTACTCAACTTCATAAACATTACTTTCACAAAATATTTACGCACTATAAAAAACAAATACTCTTCCACAGGAAGACCATTTTTTAATTACAACACATACAGAACTTACACAAATACACAATTTATGCTAAAAATAATTGCTTTAGTTCCACTACATAAGTAAAGCACAACTATATACACAACTAGCACTAAAACAATTAATGCACAAACTTCATAAATATATACACACAACTACCACAAATACACAATTGGACAGTGCATATACAATTACAAAACATGGACAATTAATTTACAACTTGCACAATTAATACACATCTTTGCACAATTAATACACAACTTGCACAATTACAATCAATACATAACTGCTTCAAATACACAATTCGGACATATACAATAAAAATCATGCACAATTAATACACAAGTTGTACAATTAATGCACACCTTGTACAATTAATACACATATTGCACAGTTCATACTCGCACAAAAACAATCAATAACCTACTAGCACAAATACACAATTTGCAGAAATAATAAATAACTTGAACAATTATTAAACAACTTGCACAAAAAACTTGCAAAAATATAATCAATAACATAGTTTGCACAGAAATTTACTAGAAATGTGTACAACATCAATAGTAATATACCAAGTTTAACCGAAAATGGCCCCATAAAAGGCATTCAATTTCACAGATATATATCCTATATCTGGCAGCGC